AATATAATCCCATAATTTACATAAAATGAAGCCAAATCGCCGGGACAAGCATACCAAGAAGCATGTGGCCGCCGCCCCACAGCACAAGCCACAAAAGAAACGCTCCTCAGAATCACAGCCCACCCTCGGGCTAACACAATTTGCCCCACTCAAATATCATTATGTCATAAATTGATGTGGAATCCTTGTTCATTTATGAAATTTTCCCATTCCCATTGAGCGTCCGGTGTGTGTGTGTGTCTGTGTGTGTATAGAAGTTCACAAATTCGATTTTCGTACAAGTTCAATGGGGTAAAAGGAATGGAATTGCAAGGGGAGAGTAAGTGTGTGCACGAATTTAAGTTTTTATGAGTGCCATCAGGGGCATCATCACCATCACCATCATCATAAGATTGACCTTTCTAATTGCCATGGCAACAACTTTAAAGTGTGTGTTTGAGCATGGCAGTGAGGAAGCATCAAGTAAGGTAGACATTTGCATGGTAAATGTTCTTTAAACAGAGACAGAGTTGCTGCTAATGAAACGTCAATTATGTGCGACCGTTTACAGGGCTGATAGCGTCAAGGAAGAATAATAATAGCCAGTGGGACCAAGAACGACTACGAAGATACCGTATACAGTGCAAGATTTGTTTAAATATTTTGATATTCAATAAATAATTCGTTGATATTCGTGGAAAAAAATCCACGCCTTTGAGTTTGCAGGACAAGAGAAATATCTCGCGATTTCCTGTCATATAGTATACCTTTGGGGTGCTCTACGAGTAGCGGGTATAAAAATGAGCACGTGACCAACTTTGTCAACGCTTCAAGCATATCCAATTTAACCCTCAAATTGCTGTCATTATGACAGCTACCAGAACAGAGGCGGCAGCAGCATCAGCATCAGGAGTAGCATCGGTGGAGTCGCTGAGTTATTAGCGAAGCGTGATTGGCATAAATCAATGCAGCAGGGCAGAGACATCAGAGGTGTGGTCAGGCGGGGAGACAACGACAACTGGAGACAACATAGAGATGCACCTGCCCGAGACCCTTTGCGAACTCACTGGCCGCTCTTTGCCCTAATGGGATTGAAGCCAGTGAAATATTTATGACTGCCATTCCTTACCACCCACCATTCATCCCACTCAACCACCCACTTGTCGATGACATTGTTCCGCTGTGTGGGTTCGCTTGTAATCCCTCTTATATCAAGACGGATGTCGTTGATGCGCCATTTATGCTGAAATCGAAAGCATATTGATTCGTCGATCGCATTAACATAAAAATATAGCTGCAACGGATTTGTGGGCTCCTCCCTTGGCGCATTGCAGATGGGTATACTTTGATTTGCATAGAGCGGATGGAGGGATTGTTAAGGAATGTAAATGCTGTCTTGAATAACTTTTATCGAGCGATCTGTTTATACATACACTCGCTCCCACTCTGCCAGTTTTTGCATCCCTTTCATGTACGAAGTAATCCCATTTTTTTTCGTTCACGTGATTCTTTGTTTGACAAAATGTTGGACAAAGGATTTAATTAGTTTTTCTTTCATTTGCCGAGAGCAGAGAAGCTCTCTAGTAATTGCATTTGAACAGATATCACGACACGCGAGAACGTTCCGTGCACGGAACGGGGTGTAAAAGCCAAATTGAAAACAAGAAACGAAGAACTTTTTAAGGCTCGAAACATTCGATACCCTTTTTAAATACATTGTGTTCATTTAGTTAGCTATTAAATCAATTCAATCAGTCCTTAAACATTGCAATAATCTTGGCTTTGTCGTGAATTTCAGTCCGAGTTTCTCGGAGCTTCATTGAGGAAGTTCTGTTGGACCAAATTTCCTTTTCTGCGTTGCAAACATTCACTAAAAATGATAATACCCCAATGAGAAGGGTACAAAATTAGGGGAAACACTGCTGACGAGTGGTGGAATGGCAGTTTTGGCTACTGGCTACTGGGAGGATGCCGCCTTCCTTTCTCTCTAATGAAATACTTGTGTCGGGCGCCTGTCGACATTATTAACAGCTTCCGAACTTTTGAATCTACGAATTGCAAACTGCAAAGGGAGCGAAAATGGTAGCGAACTGCAATCGCCAGCATACTCGTATACACAGAGCATCATGGCATCAGCAACAGCAAAGGGAAAATGTGAAAAGTGTGCTAATTTCCATTAAGAGTGCAGAAGCAGCAAAGCAGCAACATCCACAGAGAAATATCCAGAGCAACACCAAGCACAAAGGCAGCGCCAGAAGAGTGTTTAATTCAAATTGTGGCTCTAAAGCAGCCACTGTGGTGCTATTCTGCCATGACCATGGCCGGAAAAAGTAGCTCCTCTTTGGTTGAGTCAAGTGCAGTGGCAGTCAGTTTATTTATTCCTCCAGCCAGGAGAGAGCAAGAGTTGGGATTAGGTTTGGGTTTTGGGTTGGGGTTTGAGGTCGGGTTCGGGTTGCATTTTCAGTTCCAGTTCCGGGGTCACATCGAATACGTCGCTGCTGCCTTGGCGACAGAAAGCCAATTTATGTGCTTTGTGTGCATTTTTTGTTTGAGTTTGCTATATTTTTTATTGGCAGCACAATTTATTCACAAATATGGTTGCACTTCTCCCTGTGCATCTGTATATGGGTGTGTATGTGTATATGCCTGTGAGCGATGTTTATTGTACAAAGGATATATGGTATTGCCGGAGCAACAAAGAGTAGACTTTTTTATACATACTCGTATACACTCCGTCCTGCTCAGCTTAGACACGACCAGTTTGTTTGCCCAGATTTGATAAATGTGAGCCTTTAGAGCAAACCAAACTCCGCTCTTTCACATTGAAATAATATATTACAAATTGTATAAATATTTAAACTGACTTTCACAAAAAGTAATGGCAAGGTAATATGAGAATGTAACGAGTAGTTGCTCTGTTGGCATTTGCATGTGTGAATGTGAGATGCATAAGCTAAGTAAATATTTTTGGGGGTTTCATTAGACAATTGAATTACTCGTATGCTGAGTATTCCATAATTTTCCCTCGTTGCTACACTGTTTGTTCAATCAAATCCTTTCTTCACTTTAATAAATAAATATTTAAATTTTTATTTGAAGCACTCGCATAATCAATCTTTCAATTGTTTCATCTGGACTCCAAAGATATGCTCTGTATCGTATTAAATTAACCCCTTAAAGAAAGAGTAACAATAGTGTTTTCATATGTGTATTTCTTGTTCCCAAGAATATTTTTCAACGCACCAAATGAACAATTTCCGATTGTACAACAAAAGGCCGTGAAGCGGCTGCATAAATCCGATATACCGCATAAAAGGAGACGCAGAGACCCAGCCTGACAGCCGCGCATGAGAGTATGTATTGTACGTACGTATACCTTTGGCATTTTCTGAAGTCAATATACAATATTTGTCGTTACTTGGTGGACCGATGGTGGTTGGCCGTCGCTCTGCCTTTTGGCTTTGTTGTGTGCGAAGCTTTTAAAAGTTAATAAATCCTTTTAACTTATTCCATATTTCAATGCTGCTGTTGCCTTTGCCTTTGTCGTTGTCGTTTCAGTTTCTGCCACTGTTGCTTTTGCTGCTGGTGTGCGGTATTCGTTTAAATCCGGAAAAATGCCAACCAACAATGTGAATATCCTTGTGTGATGCTGCTGTGGCTGTGCCCGTGCCGTGCCCTGGCCTGCCGTGCTCTTGTGGACAGAATCAATGGGAAAAACTGGCTGAATGAAAGCAATTCACTTTATTGAACAACATTATTCAAATGGAGTTGCTCTGCTGCTCTGCTGCATTGCTCTGCTGGCAAAACGGTCTCTAGATTATGAAGCTGTATTGTGTGTACGATTTGTACAGCTCATCGGCAGACATCATTCATATCAGTTTGCCCAGCAAACAGAACTCATCATTAAAGTTTTCATCTATTTCAATTTCTATTTCTATTTTCATTCCAATTTCAATCTGTAGGCCTCTGTGTCCCGTCCAGGGGCAGCGAGATTGAGTGACTGGCTCATCATATATCATGGCCGGGCCTTTGTCATCCATTGTCTTCCGACATTTCCGACAAACATTTCTTGAATATTGCGTTATTTTTCCGTTTCTTGCCATTGCGTTACACATTTTGTTTTTTTTTTTTTGATTTGTTGTGGCAACCAACATTTATATTCCTTTATAAGTATTCGAATACATATACAGATGTATGCATACATACATATATAGGGCTGAATGTCTGTGTTCCGTTGTACGGCCTTTTAACGATTCATTTTTTATAAGAGAGTGCGCGCGCCTGCGAAGACTTACTATAAGCTCAGTTTCCATTCAGGACCGGCTTCCGTGCTGCCTTCGCCTCAATCGCCCAGTATTTTTATTATTTATTATCCGTTTTAAATCCCAGCTAAAGATCATTATACACATCAGTGCGTCCGATTGTGAGAATCGCAGCTACTTCTGATTTTCTGATTTCTTGTTTTCGACGTTTTACCCCCAGTCTACCCACAAGCACAAGCTGGAGTCCCCCAACACTTAGCCTCTCTCTCCCGCACACAGTTCTCAAGTTCTGTGCAGAATCTCTGTGTTGTCGGCCGGGAGGGGGGAAGGACGCACAAGCGCCAAACGAAGGCAAGGAAAACGATTTAACTGAAAATTGAGGTTGAACTTAATCATAAATCAATGCTAATGATGCTAAAATGCTAGAAAATTTCCTACACAGCCCAGACCGGGACGCGCCATTTGGAGTGGATATCACTTCCACCAAGGATGAAATCTGTGGATAGCAAATCCAGATTCAGGCAAGGATTTGCAGAGCTGGCATTTGCCAAGGCACCATCCAAAAACCCCCCACACTAACGCCAACGCCCACGCCCTCGTCCTTGCCCACTTGGCAGATGTCTGACTGTCATTTATTACAATTGCTTTGACTTTTGTTAGTTTGTTGTCGCTGGCATTTTGTATTATGCATCTCATTGTGGATATCCCAGAACTAAGTTGGCCATGAGATTTATAATCTGCCATTTCGATATTGTCACTTCCCCAATAGGCATTGTGGAAACAATTTCATTTCAAAAGCAAAATAGTTGTCGGAGTGAACGGAAAGTATTTTTAAATCCCTGAAATTTTGTGAATTTTCTCAACATTCGTCGTAAGTTTTTTTTTTGGAAATATTTTCAACTTTTTTACGAAAGGATTTTTGAACGCTTTTGTTAAACATTTTTCTGCAGATTTCTGCAGAAGATTCAGTTCGTGAAAGGCCACTACAAAGATGAGCTCAACTAATTTGGATAGCGAGACTGGGTCTCAGCGTCACGAGAAGCTGTCGCAGGACGTGTGCCGTCTGATTATGCAGGGACGTCAGGCCAAGGGACTTAGCCAGAAGGATCTGGCCAGCAAGATTTGCGAGAAGCCGCAAGTCATTGGTGACTACGAGGCCGGACGCGGCATACCCAACAATCAAATTCTCGCCAAGATCGAGCGCATCATTGGCATCAAGCTGCGCGGTAAAGAACGCGGTATGCCACTTCAAAGCATGGGACAGCGTAAAAAAAACTAAAAAACAACCACAATGCACCAACATTATTTGGATATTGATCTCGCTATTGATTAAAGGCTTGCTTGGATAACCTGAAACTGTCTGCTTTTTTCTTCTGCCCTGATCCTTGTCTAGTCAATAACCGCCAGGCAATAGCCTCTTCCATATACCTTTTCTGGCAAACCCTGCTCGGTAGTGATAGCTCGTTAAAGTGACGCCATAAAACTGGAGCGTAATGTGACGCCCGAGAATTGTAAAATTCATGAAGGCAATGCCAAAGGAAATTTAGGTGCGAAATTTGTGTTCTCTATCACTTCAAAGCTTGTATACTCTTTCAGGCAAATTGTTAGTCTTTGATATTAGACTAGACGTTCTATTGGATATCTTCAAAGCTCATTCAAGCTAATTGAGGAGGATGCTCAGTTTATTAGAATAAGAGTAGAAGGGTACTCTAATTAGAGCTCTACAGCTACACAAGCTATAAATAACAATCGAATTTCATCAACCAGTCAAACTATCTTCAGTGCAGGGCATACACATGTACATACAAACATATACACATTATATATTCAAAGCACTTTAAGTCATTTATATTTCGATAAAAGTGTTTATGCAAATCTTGTAAAACGTAATCGTAAAGCGGACGAAGAACCGCCAACGATACCGAAGCCAATGCCGATGCCTGAAAGCGCATTACCAGAGCTCGAGGCAGTTCCGCACGAAAGACAGAGAGAGAAAGCGAGCGAAAGAGTGAGAGAGATGGCATATGAGTTGTAAAAATTGAAATAAATGTATGCTGGGACACGGAGACCAGACCTCCGCACACAGACATATTGTATGCAAAACATGTGTGTGAGAGCGAATATATACGGGTGTGCGTGAGTGTCTGTGGCATAAGTTATGCCTGGCTGGTGCCCGAATGGACAGAGGGTGGCACCTGACTGCTGCTCAGCATAGTCTTATGCACCCACACCCACACCCCAGCACCAAGCCCACCTTCAGTTATTCTGACCTCAGACGCAACCACAATGGAACAAACATTTTTGCAAATAGAAAATTGAGTTAGCGGCTCCTGCTCCGCTTCCTAAAATCACGTGAGAATCCTATATTTCATTCGAATACATTTTACCCTATATAGGAATAGTAGAGATTATAGTGCTAATAAAAAATTCATATTTAAAACATAATTAGACCGTGTTACCACACAAAAACGAAGCTGGATTTATACAATTGGCCATTACGATAATAAATAGATTTATATATTATATTTGATATGTTCTCCAACGACACATAACACCCTTAAGCTATCACAATTACGGGGTATGCTGAAAAAAAAAACAAAAGCGAGAGCGCAGGAGGTGGCTGAGGTGCGTTGAATTTGTGGAAATTGCCTTTTTACGAGCGTATTAGCATGCGTGTGTGGATATTTGCATTCGAGGTGGGCCGCGTGTGTGGGTCTCGCGGCTAATGTGTCCCCAGTGAATGAGTGCGGACCCTAAAGGCCCCGGCCAACGACTTGACGACTCCCCTCCCCTTTCTTGGGCCGCAGATAAATCAATTTACTCTCATTTTATTTGTATGCATAAATTTGTGCGTAATAAACAGTGCGGTACGTCGCAGGCACCAGCATTTTTTGAAATGATTTTCTAAATCAGCTTGTCCCCCCTTCCAATGCGTCTGCAAATGAAATTTTAAATATACAAATGCCTGCAGTCAGGCGCTCTTTCTTCTTTTTTTTTTTGTCAATATATTTGATTATCCTCGCTCTTACGATTAAAAAAAGGCATTATTCCTTTTGTTCAGTTTACAATGTAAGCTCATTTGAATTCGAACAAGTACGTTTTATTTCCTGAATACACATATGTACATACATATCGTGTGTAAATATTTTAAGATGCGTACACAAGCAGCAATCATTTTATTTTTATACTTTTGCTAAATAAAGGTATGTTATCCTGGAAAAAAATAAATACATACACCGATGGATAACGACTCTACTGCTGACTCGACTGACTAATTAATGCAGATAATGATATGCCCACCGATATTTTAAACACTCGTATGTGGAAGGGAATGATTAAATTTGAAATTGTTGTCTTTTAGTAGGAAACAGGTTTTTAATAAATTGAAAATTTTTTTTCAAAAGGACCTTGGGGGGGTGTATGTGTGAATAATGGCAGCAGCTAACAAAACATTTTCCAATTCATTGAGTTTTACAGATGCCATCCATTGGCGTCATCAGTGATTTAGAATTGTTGTATTTGTACCCTCCCCAAATGGATCCCCTTTGTCACGTTCCCGCGTGTGTGTGTGTGAGACGTCAACAAATGTCAACATGCGATTTGTCAAATTGTTGAAAAATCTATACATGTATAAGTATTTCAAACACACTGTGAGTCACAGCCTAAACTCTGGCGGCTTTTTGTTGGATGGATTTGGTCGAGCGTTAAAATGAAATTAGATTGACGTTTGATACATTTCCTTTTTTGTTGGGTATGCCTAGAGATGCCGAGATGATTTTGCCTACAGCCTCCTGGCGTTTGCTCTTCCAAAGCCCCACCTGCCAGACAACCAGCCAGCCATTCAGCCGGGCTGTCACTTTAAATCCGTGGTAGTCTGTCAGCAGAGAGAGCCGACACCTGGGGGAATTGTCGTGGCACACTTACAGGCGTATCAATATTCGGGAATACGGGAAGTGCTCGACATGTTTTCGGAGTCTGGGATAAACAAAGAGCACAACAAATCACTAAAGTGAAAAGTGTTCAACGAGAGAAAGAAAAAAAAAAGCGAGAAAAACATGAAAAACAATTTACAATTGACATGTAAATAAGCGTTGAAATAGAGGATGCTTGGATGGGGGTCTGCGGAGGAGCTGCGTGTGGAGCTCGTGGGGTGTTGCCTGGCAACGCAGCTCTCAAAGGAATTTAGATTTTTAGTTTTTCCCTAGTAACAGTATTTCGCCCACTGCAGTCGGCTAATTGAACGCTAAAAGCTGTTCCTCAGCTGCTGCTAATGAGCCTGTCTTGAGAACTTCCTGGATTCCGCAACACGTTTTGCCACTCACATACATATTTATGGAGATCTTTGGGTCGTAAAATATTTAAACACATCAGCGCCCTGAACTTTTTCAACACTTTCACCGCGCATAAATTTGACCTTTACACCAGGCTGGCACTTTTGGGCTGGCTTCTCGCTTTGACGCCATCAATCCGAGTCTGGAGGCAACCTCCCTGGAAATCCATCAGCAAAGTGCACACAGCCACACCACACGACATTGGCAGCCTTCAGCCTCCGGCCTCCGACCTCCTGCCTGGCAGTTTGACAGTTTCTTGCCTGCAGCTTGCCACACTGCGCGCATCATTTTTCTTCATTTAGCTTCAAAAACAGCTTGAGTGCAGGCGCCTCTGATTTATCTGCCAGCTAGCTTATAAATATTTCAAGTGCTGGCATTTTAGTGCACGTGTGCTGCATTATCATTATTGGCCAGAGACTCTTTCCGGGGGCGCTTTTAATATGCAACGAAATTTCCCGAAGCTTGTTGAGATTTTACACCTACTTCTCGGCTAGGAATACTTGCCAGCCATTTAAGAACGTGGTTCCCGAAAGGCTGCATTTAATGCACTTTTAGCCGACCGGGGTGAAGCTTTGGTCAGAGTTGAACTGATGAAACGATTGATGGTGAATGTGATTGATTAATTATTTAAAGCTGTACACAAAATCAAATAAAGATAAATTAAAGAAATAAGAAACTGGATATGTACTATTAGTATATAGAAGTCGTTTAAAATTCTAAACAAATTCACAACACAAAGATTAAACTATGAAAGGGTTTATGTTGCATGCGAATTATCATAATACTGCAGAGGCCAAAGTTGAATTGTTATGGCCAAACATGTGAATTTGAATAGAATTACTAAACCTTCTCAAATGTTAAGGCTTCTTGTCAATTTGATAGTTTTCTGATTGGCCTTTTATTTGTTGTGATGTTTCTGTAAAATGTATTTATCTCTTTTAGTTCAGAGATGATTTAATCTAATTACTATATTTTACAAAACCGAAAGACAACACCTTTAAAATGCCATCAACAACATATTGCCGGGTCTAAACGTGCTTCCATCTCCATCTCCATGTATGTACATATGTGCTTGTTTCTAAGTTTACTTTATGGTTGAGGTAATTTAAAGCCACATATAGAAACAGACAAATACTCGTCCGTACAAGCATACATATATGTTTGTATCAACGTGTGCAATATTAACTAACGCACACACGTACAAACTAAATGAAATTCATGGCATATGTGCGTGCGTTCCATGCGTGTGTCCGTGTATCTGTGTGTGTGCTTTCTGTACTGATGTATGCGTGTATCTTTGCTGGTGTGAAGCGACATGCATGGCATGGCGATAGTATCTGGCTAGCTGGCGCTGCCTCTAACAGCCACTCTTGTCTCACAGTAACTGAGCCAGCGTCCCAGAAAGTGGTCTCATTTTTGTACCCTTTGCAGAGGGTAGTACTACGATTCTGACCAGAAGTCTGAGAAATTGAAGCATTTCAAGCGACTAAGATTATGTATACTTGATCAAAATAATTAGTTGAATCCATCTGCGATAGTCACCGTCTTTTTGTTAACAATCCGACCTTAATTTCTATGTGGTATGCATTGGTCATTGGACCTAACCGTTGGATGACATTATCATATATGTAGGCAGTTGCCAGAGGAACTCATGGTTTGAAAGGGTATCCAAGCCGCGGTCCTTGTTATGCGTTTCGATATTTTTTGGTTCTTACTTTCTTTTTACATTAAACATTTTTTAGAAATTGCTCTGTCGCTGCAGGCCAAATGAGATTTAAAGAGGGGATATGGTGGTGGGCAGGGAGCAAGAGACACACAATTATGGCACTTTCTGCAGTAAGTTCTGGCCACACACTTGCCCCTGTTTCATCTTTTTATCTTTTTTTGGTCTGACTTTTTAGCATATTTTCCCTTAGCATATTTTTATTTGTAGCATTTATAAGTGAATAAATGCGCGCATTTAAATGCCACTTCCTGGTCGTCCTACCCCCTCTTTTCGGCCCTGGTGTGGTCTGGTCTGTTCTG